CCCCCCACCCCAACAATCCTAACAGCCACAACCGCCGCAACCGCCACAATAATCACAACAACCACAACAACCAAAGAAAAACACCCATCGCAACAACCACCACTGCAAACAGCACCGCCGCAGAAAACAGCGCCGCAAATAAAGAAACACCATCACAAAATCAACCACGGCAAAAACGACCACCACAAAAACCACAAGCTAAAAAACAACAACGCCGCAAAAACGCAAAAGCCACCATTGCAAAAACCACCGCCGCAAAGACCATAACCGCAAAAACCAGCCCCGCAGAAACCACCACTGCAAACACAGCCGCAAAAACAGCGCCATAAAAACCACCAACGCAAAAACAACCACCAAAAAAGAAACCGCCGCCGCAAAAAAACAACACCGCAAAAACCACCACCGCAAAACCACCACTACAAAAACCCGCATCGCAAAAACCACCACCGCAGAAGCCACCATTGCAAAAACCCACCGCCGCGGCAAAAACCAGCGCCCTCCCACCGCCGCAGCCACATCAACAACAACAACGAAAAATAACAACAAATATGAGATCAGGTATCCAAAGAAAGGCCGATTCCAAAAAAATGGAAAACTAACATCATATCGTCAAAAAAATAAACAAGAAACAACAACAATCAAGAAAAAGACAAGCCCAAAAAAACAACAAATCAAAGAAATATAAACATGCTTAAAAAATACAATTGGCAAACACATGCCCAACAGAAGATTCAGAAAAAGAAATCAAAAAAAAGTTGGTTGCGCAATGCTGCATTTGAGGGAAAAGCGTGGAAAAAATGCTGAGCAACTGAAATAAAGGAGAAAAAGGTGCAGGTTTGGGCCTGGGATTGAATCTTCTGTTGGGTTATCGGTGTTCTTTGCATCTTCTTTACGAAAAATAAAGAATATCCAATAAACTAAATGCATGCAATTAGTGCAATGACAACAAAAATAAATAAAATGTACGTCTGGCTGTGAAATGCTGGTGTTGAAACAAAATTGGGGGGGATTTGCTGAATATTAGAAAAGACCCGGGGGTATCTAGATTTGAGTTCGAGATCGGGTTTTCTGTTGAGGCTTCGGTTGAATTTTATATTATTTCTTCTCATTGTATTGAAAAAAGATCGCAGTTATTGAAAGAAATAATGGACAGACATGAAATATATTCAAATAAGGAACCACCACCCCAAAAAAGGAGCCGCAAAATGCTCATTATTCACGTCTCACCCTTTAGCAAAAAATCAAAAAAAATACAGGCTTGAGTCCAGGATTGAACCTTCTGTTGAATCCTCGCTTTAATTCGGATTTGTTCCCTTTCATTATTTTTGTTGAAAAAATTAAACAATCAAATAATTAAAAATCAAAGAGGTATATTTGCCTGCAAATTCAGATTTTGAAGCTTAAATATAGGCAATCTGCTGGTCATTGGAAATTCAGGTTGAATTTTATACTTGAGTTCGGGGCCGAATCTTCTGTTGAATATTTGATTCCATGTATGTTTTTCATGTGTGTGTTTAGTGGTTCTTTTTGTTTTTGTGTTTCTTGTTGAATACCTATTTGTTTTTTGCATCTTCATTTTAAATATTTCATTTTATTATGCCTTGATTTCGGATATCTGAAAATTACATTTTTTTCAAAAATTATTTGGGAAATTAAAAATGTTTTTTTGCCCAGGGTGCTTCTTATTATTGGTAAATAATATCAAGACAAGACGGTTAGAAATCATACCGAAGAAGCGAATTCATTTAGTGCTTTTAAAAACAAAATTTTGCATATGATCATGAAATTGAAGCATGCGAAAAAATTAGCATAATTATATATCTCTATTTTTCGGTACTATTGATTTTTGACAAAAAATAAAGGATTGATACCCGGTATTTTGTTGCGAAAGTAAAGGAAAAATAAGGTAGAAAATGAAAAGCAGAAATCCAAATTCGATATTTGATTTTTTAATATTGATATATTTTTTGTTCGATACATGTATATTTAGATAGTAAATTTAAAAATATGTTTATATATTTTTCAGGCATAATCAGAAATAATCTTGATTAATTATCAAGATGATGCAAGGAAATCTTGAAAAATAAAAAATAAATTGCTAAGCAGGAAATGGGGATACCTAATTATATAATTAAATATAAATCATCATAGTCAATATATTATATTATATTTTTCGCGCAATATGACGGAAATATCGAAGGGGAAGAAAATATTGGAATGACAAATATTCTCAATATTTTGAAAGAAAAATTAGGATAAATATATTTTTTGTAAATGATATTTTTGAAATTGAAGATAGCAATGTATTTCATTTTCCATTTTTAGCCATTTGGAATCATTAAGTTTTTGAGGGGTCAAGTTCATATAGTTGTTTAGTTAGTTTGTGAAAAATATTGTTTATGTGTTTTGATTTGGATGTTTAAATTCTGAATGTTGAAATATATTTCCAAATTTCAGATGATTGCTTTAATGAAAAAATGAAGAAACGGATTTAAATATCAGATTTAATTTGCTCACAATCGTCTTGTCCCTTGTCTTCTTGCTGCTTCTGCTTGCGAATGCACGGATGAGAATATGCCAAAGGTTGCAAGTGGGCGGCTGGCTATCTTGCATTTACTTTTGGTCCTGCTAGAGTCCCGGCAACAAAGGCATTGGAAGCCCTGTGAGCCTCGCGCGCACTGGGACTCAGGCGGGACCAATCGAGATGGAACTCGCAGTTGGTCACTGGGTAAGAAGCCGTATGATCCCTGGAGACTTGTACAGACCTCTTCCCCACAGCGCCTTCGTAGAAGTTACTCTCACGCCTTTGCGCCTTTGGGAGGGTAACTTCGCGGCCTGGGGTCGAGAGCGCCCTCCGTGGCCGTCTGTGCTCGTTGAAGGGGTGAAGGTGCATAAGTCCCAGGTCGAGTGGGCTTGTTCCGTCTTTGCAGATAGTCCGCCACCACTCTCTGCAACCTGGCTTCTATATTCTCATCCCTGCTTGTTGTTTGTTCGTTTCTTGCCTGCTTGTTGTTTGTTTGTCTGTTTGTCTGTCTTTCTGTATGCTGTTGATTGTTCTTTTTCTTGTGTTGCTGTTGTTGTTGTCGTTGTTGTTGTTGTCGTTGTTGTTGTAGTTGTTGTCGTTGTTTGGTTGGTTGGTTGGCTGGTTGGGTGGTTGGTTGGCTGGCTGGCTGGGTGGTTGGTTGGTTTGCTGGCTGGTTGGTTGGTTGGCTGTCGTCGTCATTGTTGGTTGGTTGTGGTTGTGGTTGTGGTTGTGGTTGTGGTTGTGGTGGTGGTGTTGGTGGTGGTGGTGGTGGTG